ATATGCACACTAATTACCAGGTACTAGTTAATATTTGCAATAGAAGAAAACATTGTTAAAAATGAATATGATACAATATTTTCTACAGGGGAAACTGTGTACCTTTGGACAAAATTCATATTCAAATTCATAATAATCCAAAAAATATTAATTATTGTATATATAAAAATGATAATTATCATTATTTTTACTAAAATATCATTTATGATTAATAGAATTAATATAAATAGAATTAATATAAATTCTAAATATGTTATATATGTTTTATAAATAACATAAATATTAAACGTAATTGTATATATTTATATTTTAATTTTTTTGTAAAATCTTTAACATATAAAAAATTTTGTTGCTTCAATGTTTAATGATACGTTTGCATTAAATTATATATTAAATTGCAAGAATTTTTTAAAAATAAATTTAAAATCTTATTTGTTATGTCCAAAGGTATATATATTTACATATATATATATATATAAACAAATAAAAATAATTTTAAAAAAAATTTTAGAAGATATTTTTTTCTATGATTTTTTAAATTACAACATTTACACTTTTTTAAATAAAAAAATGCAATGGCTTATATTATTTGCTGCCATTATATAATTTGAAGAAAATATTTATAATTGCTAATAGATTAGAAAACTAACATAATCATTTTTTTTATATGCTGCGATTAAGCCATCATTATACTTTAAAGCTTAAACTAAAAACTAATCACGCGTTATTAATAAGCGAAAAGTCAAAAGGCACCATGTTTCCCAATATCTTAAAAATACTTGATTGCACTTTAAAACTGATTAAAACATATCTATACTTACTACAAAATAATATAGTATGAACTTCAGATCGATAAAGAAGTCGTTAATATATTATGTTTATAAATAAAATATGTATTGATATTTTAAGAATTATAATCTCAATCAAAAAGATTCATAAATTGATTTGTATAAATTTTTTTTTCTTCTTAAATAACTCAAAGCGTTTTACGCTATAATAGAGGAATCTGAGAGCTTTCATATATTAAAACTTTAACACTTATTCTAAAAAAATCTCGATCAATAGATAAAAAAAGAGATCGAGTTGGAACGATTAAAATTTGAACAACCTACAGTTGGTAATTGTAAATGAATAATAACAAGTCCATGGCCTAATTTGTTACATTTAAGACTAGAAAAAGTCCTCCATGGAGAGCATTTAAGATGATAATGCAAGGCCCAAACGAGCAAATGCCATTTCCTTTCGTAATCGAGTAATTTCCCAATAAACATCATGAACTATAACAATAATTAAATTTTCTATAATTATATAAAAGACAAACTAAAATAATCAATATTTACCTGAGCTTTTAACAAGGCCACGCTCAATATAGCGTAAATAATTCAAAAAATCGCAGACCGCTATGATCTACAAAAATATTATTTTGTTTAATATCTAATATTTTACAGTTAATAAATTGTTTATGTAACTTAGACTTACTCGATTGCGACAGATTTGTGATATGCTATACCACTGATTTTCTTGATCCCCAAGTCTCATTCGATAATAACATTGACGCGGTGCTTCAAGCAGTACACATTTTCTAAAAAAATGAAAAAAGAAAAGATATTTATGTTTAATATAATAGTAAAAAAAATAATATATCGCTATTAAAACACAAAATTTACTTTGGAAAGGTGAATTTAGTTTTATCGCTAATAGCTTCGATAAAAATGATGCCATCAAGAACAGCTTGTCTAACTTTTGTACCCAATTCTTTGTTAGGAAAATCAAGACAAAGATCGATATCTTCTTTAAAGATTCTGCCAACGAAAGGATCACCTTTGTCTACACATGGATTGGCTTTCCATTTAAGAAACTCTGTATGTACTCTAGGATCAACTTCAAGGCCAAAATCTTTGCATTCTTTATCTTTCTCTTTTTCTGAATCTTTTTTCCAATCTCTTTCTAGTGTTTCTCGATCCGATGGTAAAGATGGTCTTTGTTCTTTTAGTGGAGAATCTGGTGGAGAACTCTCTCGACCATATTTTAAATTGAAATGTGATGGTGATCTAAATAGAAAAATATTTAGAATTTAATTTAAATAGCAATTTCATTTATTGATATTCTTAATATCTAAGAATATGTAAAAATGTTTAATATAATGTTTATAGTATAGTAAACATATTTTCACCTTCTATGTTTTCTTGCAAAAAGCCCTTGCTGATTATCCTCATTGTTAGGACGACTTTTCGTATCAATTTGCGGATGTAAATGAAAGTTTGGTTTAGCCGGCGTCGAAGTTAATACCAATGTTTTTAAAGCTGCCACTTCAGCAGCTAAAACTTCAGCTTTCATACGACTTTCTTCCAATAGACGTTCTGCGGTAGCTTGACGAATATTTGCTTCTCGCACCATATTATGTGCCTCCTATTTATATATAAAATTTTGATTAAATTCTTTATTTCCTTTTATATAATATATTAATATGTGTTGTTCATGAAATTTACTTGAAAGAGACTGGCAGTGAGTTCCTCCAATTCAATTTCAACATCCTGCTTAATTCTTGAAAGTCTTGTAACTTCTTCATCTTTCAATTTTAATTCCTCATGTGCTCTTTTGAGTTCATCTTGTAATTTTGTTACAGCATGTTCTTTTACTTCAGCTATAGCTCTACCCCATTGTAAAGTAGTTGGTGAAGGTGGTTCTTTTCCTTGAGAGTTCTGGAAATATCGATATTATTATTGTAATATAGTATAATATAATAAATAGTTAATGATGTAACATATTGAATTACGAGAATTTACTTGAGATTCCTTTGTACATAATAATGTTTTTGAGGAATTATTGCAATAATTGAGTTTTGTTGAATCATTAATAGAATCTTTATGGTTTATTATTTCAGCATTTTCTTCATCAAATGTGATAGATAATGGCTTGATACAATAATTTTGATTTTCATATAATTTATGTTCATTCTTGTTCAACCTTGCCAAAGTGTCACAAGAGTTTGTAAGTTTTCTTTCTTCCATCGTTGGTGAATTTCAATATCGCAATAGAACATTGTGGAGTTTTCTAATGTACGTAAATACAGAAGTGATCTTGGTTGAACTGGAACTTAAAAAGATTAATCAGTAAAGGAAAAGAATATTATTTAATCTAAAAATTGTCTTAATACCAACATTTTTAAAAATATAATTTCTTAAAATATTTTTGTAAGTAGTGACAAATGATTAATATAAATACAAGTATGTTACACAATAGTATACATATATTGATCTGTAAGTTTAAAAAAAGAAATAGTACTACAAATAACATTGCTATATTAAAATAAAAATTAATTAGTAACTTTTTCTTTAAATAAATCTATTTAATAAAAAATTTTGCAGAAGAAAAATGCATGATATATTTTATTAACTTAGTAAAAAATTGAAAAAAAAAAACTTCATAAAAAAGATAATAAATTCTTATTAATGTTTTCTATTATCATGTTATAGTATTATAGTATTATAGTATTATAATTATATCAAAAACATAAGTATTTTAGTTATATATATATCTCTGTTGTATATCTTTTATACTTTAAGTAATATTAGAGTATTCTATTTCAACAATTAAAAGTATGGCAAAAATAATTCCGTTAGTCAAACGATTTTTTATTTACATAAATAAATTATTATAATATAAATTTTATCAATTTTATTTCAATATATAGTAATTAAGTAATATCAGTAAAATTCATTGATAAAAAATGAATTCGCGCTTATCGATCCAAAGTTGCTGTGATTCTAATGCTTAACAGCATCCTACAACTTACCCATAAACCTTCCTTTATACAACTCTCCTGCCATTAGTGGATCTGACGAAAATCATCAAATAATATCAGAGAGAAAAGCGGAACGAGATAGAATTTTTTCCACAATATGTCAACTTCGCGTCAACGTGTAAAATGAAAGAATACCCATCACCCTTTCATGACCCGCAACACGGCCCGACTGAAGACTTGAAGTGTCACATAGTCACATAGACAAGAAGAATGAACTTTCAAGCGCCACAGGTTACCCACTGCTAAATGCTCGTACTACCTCGTACCAGCTCGTACTTGTGCTCCGTAGATTATGAAGTCATTGAAGTTCACGCGCATCTTGAATTAGGCGATGAATTATGAAAGCGAACACCGATGCATATATATATATATATATATATATATACATATATATAATATATATATACATATATATTGGATTGAAACTACGTTACGATTCACATGAATTTACTCGTTGCCGCCTTTTTAATGTAATTAGCATAAAATGATTTTAATTGTGCTCAATGTCGTACTTATTTAATCTTTAATTATTTTCTCACGGTTAATTTTGAATTATATCAATAATATAATTATCGAATGACTTCATAGATACTTTAGAATTTTTTAAATGTTGTAGATGAATTTTTTAAATATTTCAGACAAAAAATTTTGAGTTGTGACACTTACTTTTTTCAGTGATCAATGGTAATTTTGACGTCTAGTAACTTGACAATTTTGTCTCATTTCTTCGTCAATGACAATTTATACTCTCTTCTTTACCGTTATGAGGCGTCTGCTGCCTTGTGATACTAATATTTTCGTGCGTGTCTTCATGCCTACGTTCTCAGTTGATATTCTTTTCTGTGTTTGTGTGATGGTATTCTCAAGTGTATATGAGGTTCGAATTCGGATACAATAAATAAATTGTGAATCACTTGTTTTTACAATAATTTATATTAATTAATAATGGATATCGATAGTGAGTATCATTTTACTTTAATGTTTAAATGTAAAAATATAAAAATTTTTCTGTACCTTAATATTCATGAAAAAATGGTAAATATAAATATTGAAATTGAAATATCTTAAAAAGAATTTGTATTTATTATATAATAATATACATAATAAATATATATAATATATATAATTTTTTTACATATAATTAAGCATGTTATATATATATGAATCTTGATTTGATAATAGGGTTAATTAAAAAAAAAAACGAGTCAAGCGTGATGGTAACCTTCAACAATTGGCTGAAATTGTTAAAGAGCTTGGTGATATATATTTTGAAAATAGCAAGTATGAAGAAGCTTTGCAAGAATATACACAACAATTAGAAATATGTAATGTATTAGGAGATAAATTAAATATAGCAATAGCTCATAGAATGATTGGAGAGATTCATGTGAATATTGGTACATATGAAGAAGCATTAAAACATCAAAATCTTTATTTGGGTTTGTGTTTAAAATGTTTATTATAAATAAAAAATATTTTCAAAATGTTTATGTTAATAGAAATCTATATTATATTATTATTATTATATATTATTAGAAAATTATATAATTATAAAAAGTTTTTTTGTTAGATAGAAGGAGCCAAAGATATAAAAAATTTATTAGAAGAACAAAGAGCTTATGCAACATTAGGTAGAACATATTTTTGTTGGGCTGAAAGTTTGCCTGAAAAATCTGAAAAAAAAGCTGATGTTCTCATAAATGCAAGAAAAGTATACATGAAGAGCATACGTCTTTGCAATGAGTTATATTTTTTTTATTTTTTTTATTAATTTAATATTAAATATATATAAACAAATTACAAATAATACATTTATATTTTATTTAGATTGGGAGATACTGATATTGAATTGAAGGAATTAATTACAATGAGGGCACGATTGTTGTTAAATTTGGGTTTGGTGTTACAAGCTGAAAAAAATCATCAAGAAGCTGTGGATTTAATGGAAAAAGCTGCAGCATTATGTGAAGCACATAATTTGCGAGAAGATTTCCATAGAACGCAAATTGCTCTTGCAGGAATTCACGAACGAAATCATGATTATGAATTGGCATTAAAACATTTTGAAAATGCAACTGAAATTGATAATTCAACTTTAAAAGCAGAAGCACGATTTTTTCAAGCAGAATTACTTTTAAAAATAGAAAAATTGTCAGAAGCACGAAAAATATTGGTGTCTCTTTATGTTATGGATAATTTATCGCAAGATTTTAAGAATCAAATAGAAAAATGTCTTAGAATAGGTATTTTTGACTTTGAATATGAATTTTTTAATAAATTTTTTAATAAATTATGAAAACTAAGACTATAATATTAAAAAATAATTTTTTTATAGTTGTAACATTACAAGCAAGTGAAGAAGCTTTATGCACAGAAGAAAATACAAGTAATAAGTTGAAATTATATGAAACACTAGGAGATGCAGCAGTAGCTATTCAGTGTTTTGAAAAAGCCATAAAATATTATAGAAAAATGCTCGTGTGCGCAGAAGAGATTAAAAGTGATCGTAGAGGAGCAGCCTTATTAAGTTTAGCACAAACTCTAAAAGATGTTAGACAATATAACGAAGCACTGGATTTTGCTCATAGAGAATTAGAATTATGTACAGATCCACGTGAAATATGTAGATCTGCTTTATTTTTAGCAGATCTATTGATAGCTGTTAAAGCAAATGATGAAAAGGTTCAAGAAGTTTATAATTTAGCCTTGAAAAATGCAAAAGCTTGTAATAATGTTTCTTTAGAAGCCAGTGTTTTAAAAGAACATTTAAATTATTTAAACAATTCTAATAAAACAGAAGAAATAGAAATACTTAAAGTAAAATTAGATATGTTAGAGAAATTAAGTAATAATATAGATAGTGAAAGCGAATCAGAGGAAAATCATATTGGTGAAGATATTTGTTTAGAAGATTTATCTGATGTTGAAGCAGAATTGAGAGTGAAAGAAAATATAAAAAATAGAAAACGGACTAGAAAAAAATCAATTGTAATAAAAAGAAATGAAAAAGGAGAAACACAACTTCATGTGGCTTGTATTAATGGTAATATTGAAATTGTAAAAAAATTATTAGAATCTGGTCATTTAACAAATGTTAGAGATCATTTTGGTTGGACTCCTCTTCATGAAGCTGCTAATCATGGTCATGTAGAAATTGCTAAATTATTATTGAAATATGGTGCAGATATAAATGATCCTGGAAGTTTAATGTGTCAGGGTGTTACTCCTCTTCATGATGCAGCTTCCTGTGGCAATTTTACCATGATGAAGCTCCTAATTGAACATGGAGCAAATATAATTCTTAAAACAAACGAAGAGGATACTGTATTAGATTGTTTAGAACAATGGAAGGATCGCGTTGATTTTTTATCTCCCGAAGATCAACGAGATTATGATGAAATACACAAAATATTATCTGCTATGATACCAATAAGCGTAAAAAAAATTTCAAAACGCATTCATGAATCTCCATGTAATTCAAGAACTCATACCATAGATAAAACTGTAAATATAGAAAAAATTTCTGCAGGTGAAGATTATAAAAGAACTATAGAAAGTTTGAAACGTAGAATTGATCCAATTGGAACATCTTTGTCATGTGTGAAAAAAAATATGAATCCTCTTTTGAATAGTGAAGAAGTCCTTTTAGATAATTGGTTAGAAGATGATATGAATGAAAGTGTTAGTAACAGAAGATACTCCGATGAAAGTTTTTCTTCCATAATGAAAAGAAAATCGAGCAATGAAGACATCGATGATGAAAAAAATTTAAAACGATCAAAAATAAATGATCTCATAGTAAAAGATAATGAATATAATATGGTACAGGAGGATAGTAATGATAATTATGATATTGAAACAATAGAAACCTTTAGTGAAAGTAAAATTCAAAAGAAAAAACAGCAAGTATCTTTGTTATCAATTGGATTTACTAAAAATTCTCGTAGTTCTTCACCTGTAATTCCAACTAACACAGGATTTGAATTAGGAGAAATTGATACTATGAAATCAGTTATTTTAAATATCTCTGTGGATGGAAAAGTATTTAAAATACAAGTAGAATTTTCAAATACAATCAGACCATTGATAGAAGAAATTGTAACTGATATTGAAACTAAATTTTATAATGATAGTGGATGTATAGTAAAATTAGAATTAAAAACTATGAATGGTATTGTGATTAATTGCAATAATGTGTTCACAATATTAAATGAAGGAGATATTGTTAAAAATTTGACAAGCGAAATAATTCATTTAGAAACTCCTTCTATTATTGAACGCTATAAAACGATATGTAAAAATTTTAATATAGGTAAATAGCCTTTAAATAATACATAATAATTTTCATACTAATTATTTTCAATATTTTTAGATATTCGAGAATGTATATCAAAATGTTTGAAATCATGCGAAAACACGTTCATTTTACGGTTAAAACAAGAAAATATTAAAAAGGAGGAACTTATATCTTTATTAAAAACTTTGGAATATCAGAAAAATGTTCAGATATTAGATTTATCAGGTGGTGAACTACATGAAATCGGAAAAGTTCTGAATGATTGTATTTTAAAATTGTTAAATTTGCAAGAATTATGCCTTCAAGGATGTGATATAGATTCTAAATGTTTAAGTAAATTAGAAAAATTACCTTTAAAACTTAAGTTTCTAGACCTTAGTTATAATCCACTTGGGCCATGTAATCAAGAAATCTTGTGCAAACTTTTTACTCCTTTGACGCAGCTTCGGACATTAAATTTACGATATTGTCAATTGCATAATTTTCAATTTCTTTCAAACAATTTTAATTTAGCGAATTTAGATATTTCTTGGAATAGTATCAATAAAGATAAATTCTATATTACTTTACAAAGACAATTGCTTAATTTAAATTTATCGAACACTATTTCTAGCGAATTCAATGTAGTAAAAAATATTTTTAATGAAACAAATATTTCATTTATAAATTTAGAATCTTTAGAACTTACTTTTTGCGAGTTATTAGATATTGATATTAAAAATATATTATCGCGTGTATCAAATCTTTCGAAATTAGTGCTTAGAGGGAACAAAAAAATAGGAATACAATCTTTGAATTTACTTTTAAAACATACACCAACATTAAGACATATCGATATTAGTGGATGCGAGAATATTGTTGATTTTCCTAATTCCGAAATATTTATTGAAAGACCTGAAATTTGTACATTAATTGCAAGTATGTATCCAAATATATGTGACTGTTGGCTTCAGTTATGGCGAGGAAAAGGTGTTATGAAAAAACTGCCGCATAATCTTACTATTTTTAAACCTATAGTAGGAATAGAAAATTGAATTTTTATACGCTATATATATATATATAATTTTAATAAATTATAAATTACAGACAAATTATTCATTTTGAAATATTTTTTATATTTTATTATTGTCTTTGATTGATAGCAATTTAAAAAATACTGTATTTTTATATAAATCGTCGGTTTTAAGTTTATTTTTATTGATTAAATTTATTTTTAATTATAATTATATTTTAATTATATTTATAATTATATTATATTATATTATATTTATATTATATTATTAAATTTAAATTAAAAATATTTTTCATTATTTGTATTATATATATTATATATACATATATTTAAGTTCAATAAATTATATATATAGATATATATATATTATATAGATTTATTTAATAGATATATATATATTATTTAAATTTAAATAATATTTTTTAATTATTCACATTTAAAGAATCGAAATATAAGAAGCATCGATGTGAATGGAAACTTCATCGGTTCAATTCAATGCTGAAATATATGTGTATGTATATATATATATATATATCTATACATATATATATGTAACACACTTTTTTAATTGTTTATAACCTTAAAATTAACGTTCAATCAAACTAAGTAAAAATTATATAAAATGTATATGATTAAATAATAAGTGAGTATTTAAATAATATGTTTAAAAATTTTTTCTTAAATATGAAACATAACAATACATAAAACAGTAATACAAATAAATATTTATAACAGATAATAAACAACGATCGTTTCGTTTATTGATGAATGATATTAACATTACATGTACAAATGTAAGTATAATAATAATTCCAAGTGTAAAAATTAAAATTAAGATGAATAATTATAGCATATATTTTGTAAATTATATATATATTAATATATATTTCTTTCAGAAATTAGTTTAACAAGGAATACAAGACAACTAATGATAATTAAATGTAAAAAAGATGTTTGTATATTTGAGTAAAAAAATAGCAATACCAAATAATTTTCGATTAAATTGTATAGCATGGAATCAAAGAGAAGGTTATATAGCTGTAGGTGGAGAGGATGGTCTTTTAAAAGTGCTTAGAGTAGATTCCAATGTCAGTAATTCTACGAGTGGTGCAAAGTCTAGAAATTTAACAGCTACAAGTAATTTAAGTATGAATCAAACTTTGGAAGGTCACAATGGACATGTACAAGTAATTACATGGAATGAACAACATCAGAAATTAACTTCAAGTGATCAAAATGGTGTAATCATAGTTTGGATGTTGTATAAAGGTTCCTGGTATGATGAAATGATAAACAATTGTAATAAATCAATAGTTAAAGGGATGGCATGGAGTTTAGATGGATTAAAAATATGTATAGTCTATGAAGATGGAGCGGTAATTGTAGGTTCAGTTGATGGCAATAGAATTTGGGGAAAAGAATTAAAAAATATAGCTCTTGCTGCTGTACAGTGGTCTCCAGATGGAAAATTATTATTATTTGGTATAAAAAATGGAGAAGTTCATCTCTTTGACAATCAAGGTGTATTTTTAACAAAATTAAATATGTTACCACTTAATAGTGGTCAAATTCAAACAATAGTTTCTTTGCAATGGTATGATGGAAGAAATGGTTATATTGGCTTAGATTCTCCTACTTTAGCTGTTTGTTATAGAAATGGCAAAATACAACTCATGAAAGACACAAATGATGATAATCCAATTGTAATAGAAACTGGTATGACAGCAGCATGGTGTTGTTGGAATAGTTATGGATCTATATTAGCTGTAACTGGTATGGTACCATTATTAGGTAATGGAGAAGCAAAAGATATTAATGTCATTCAATTCTATACTCCATTTGGTAAACATATGAGGACTTTAAAAATACCTGGTAGAGAAGTCACATGTTGTGCATGGGAAGGAGGATCCCTTAGAGTAGCTTTATCAGTTGATTCTCATATTTATTTTGCAAATATTCGTTTAGATTATAAATGGACTTATTTCAGTAACACTGTTGTATATACGAATGAAAAGATCACTAAGGATGGCATTTGCATTATATTCTGGAATACAACAAATAATACTTATTGTACTAAGAATGTAAGAGCATTGATTTCTATAGCTTCATACGGAGATCATTGTGTTTTAGCGGTAAAAAATGATCTTGCTCAAGGGTCAGAGCAATTTACACTTTTAGTATGCAATACAATTGCCACTCCAATAGATACAAAATATATAAATCTGGAGCCATTATGGGTGACAATGACTAACAATGTGATTATTACAGCATCCAAGAACAATTTTTTAGTTTGGAGTTATCGTACTCCTCGTAATTCCATGTTACATGCAGGAAGAATTAGAAGAGATAAGATTTATCATATTGATGAAACTCCAACTGGAGTAACAGAAGTCATTCAAGATTTAGATAAAGATAGATCCTTTGAAGCACCTATTAATACTAAAGCTACTATGGATCCAATTTGTTGTTTGTGTGCAACTGATAAGATTCTATTAATAGGTAGAGAATCAGGAATGATTCAAAGATATTCTTTATCTCAAATAACTCTTACAAATAGATACAATACATCTTGTAAGCTTTACAAGATTGCAATCAATTGTGATTCGTCACGGGTAGCTATTATGGATTCAAGTGGCGTTTTGACTATGTTAGATTTAGAGACTGATTCTAGAAAAAATATTATTTCGAAGGATGAAGAATCAGAGAACGAAATAAACAAGTTTGAAAGAAAAGATGTATGGGCTATGTGCTGGGCACAAGACAATCCCACTTTATTAGCAATTATAGAAAAAACTAGAATGTATGTTCTAAAAGAATTCGATCCTGAAGAACCAATATCTTGTTCTGGATATATTTGCTCATTTAAAGATTTAGAAATACGTTGTGTTTTACTGGATGATCTCATGCAAAATCCGGAAGACACAAAAAATGAATTAATAGTAGATTTAGAAGTAAAATCCCTAAGAGATACTAGAGAATTATTGATGAAAGTAGGATTAAAAGAAGCTAACAATTTCATCCAGGACAATCCACATCCACGATTGTGGCGTTTATTAGCTGAATCAGCTTTACAAAAATTAGATTTGGAAACTGCAGAAAATGCAATGGTTCGTTGCACAGATTATTTGGGAATACAATTCATTAAACGTTTGCAGAACGTGCATAATGATCAATTGAAGAAAGCCGAAGTGGCTGCTTTTCTTAGCAACTATGATGAAGCAGAAAAGTTATATTTAGATATGGATAGAAGAGATCTTGCTATTTCATTGCGTCAAAAATTAGGAGATTATTTTCGAGTTGTACAATTAATGAAAATGGGTATCGGCGGATCTGATAAACAAATGGAATATGCTTACAATAAAATTGGCGAATATTATACTGAAATACAGAATTGGGAAGGTGCAAAAGAATATTATGAGAAAACTAGGAATTTAGAAAAACTTATAGAATGTTATTACAAATTAGAAGATTTCGCTCAATTAGCAGGAATAGTACAACAGTTACCAGATAAAAGCCCTCTTTTAAAAACAGTAGCAAGAATGTTAGGTTCCGTAGGTATGTGTTCCCAGGCAGTGGCAGCATATATAAAATACGGAGATGTGAAATTAGCCGTGGATACATGCGTCCGTTTAAACCATTGGGATCAAGCAGTTGAATTAGCAAAAACATATAAAATGGCTCAAATAGATGAATTATTGAATAAATATGCCAATCATCTTTTGTCTAATGGTAAGAGATTGCAAGCCATAGAATTATATAAGAAAGCAAATCATAACTTGGAAGCAGCGAAGCTATTGTTTAAATTGGCAGAAGAGCAAGCAAAAACTAGAATGAATCCATTACGTGTAAAAAAGATTTATATCTTAGCAGCTTTGCTAATTGAGGACCACATCAATAGCACTCCGACTATTAAAGGCAGTCGAAGCAACGTTGTGATGGGATTAACAGAGAATAACGAAGATAGTCAAGTAATAGAAAATGCTTGGAAAGGTGCAGAGGCCTATCATTTTCTTTTATTAGCCAATAGACAGATATATTTAGGAAATTTCGACGCAGCCATGAAAACAGCCTTGAGATTAAGGGAATACGAAGAGATTTTACAACCTGAAGATATTTATTGTTTGCTTGCTCTATCAAGTGCAGTTAATCATGCTTTTGCAGTCTGCTCCAAGGCATTCGTCAAATTAGAATCTTTAGAAACTATATCAGAGACGACTAGAGAAGAATACGAGGATTTGGCTGTGGAAATTTTTACCAAACATAGTCCTCAAGATGTTCGTAATTCTAAAGCAGAATGTACAAATTGCGAAAGTCTAGTGCCTGATTGGTGTGTCGCTTGTCCTAATTGCATGACCAGATTTCCTCCTTGCATTATGTCTGGAAAACCACTGATGGATCTAAGCAATGCATGGATTTGCACCGTTTGCAGACATCACGTTGCTACAGAACGAGATGTAGTTAATATTAATGCTTGTCCCTTGTGTCATAGTACGGTTACATACATGTAATGAAAGCTTGTGAGAATGCATTAAGCATGCAAATCAAACAAATACATATTTTATGTTTGCGCTTTTAAATAAAAGCAAATATGCTAGCGAAGTTTAGACTTGCTGTCGAAAGAATATATTTTTTTTATAGTTTTATATTATATATTGCTAAAAGGATTAGTTTTAATTCTTTTTATAACTTAAATAATCGACGTTGTACAATTTCTTTATTATATATATATATATATATATATAGAATTCGTATATAGCAAATTATATAGCAATGATTATTTAAATTAATAATATAAATAATGGAGCAAATATATGATATTTTTATTTTAGAAAATATTATTGAAAAACATGCGAATTGATGACAATTATTGTTGATTAAAAAAAAGAATAATTTCTGATCTCATCTATAAAACTATATTTGTATTTACTTCTTTAGGAATTAATTTTTTTAATTTAAATTATCGCATTTTTTCGTTTCAAATTTTTATTATATTTATTTTTTTTATTATATACTATTATTAAGAATAATGTATTTGTGCAATTTAATTGTACGATTATACTTAGTTTGTAATATTAATACCGTCCATTATTATAATAATATTTATTAATATTAGTAATATGTATTATCATCCATATTAAAAATTTTATGGAATTCTTTAAACATATTTTTTGATGAATAATTGTCCCAGATTATAATATCTTAGAATTTAATTCATATAAAAAATTTAATAAATTTTTCAGTTTGCGCATGGCAACTGGTTTGGCGCGTAAATAGTGTATTATAAAATTTCAATCTCTTCTATTCAAACACCTTTTGAATATCGCGCATGCGCGCACCACTGTCGGCATGCGTTCCTTCCACGAGTCGGTCAGTGCGCGTCGAACGAGGAGGAAGGAGGTGTCGTATCGGCTTGTCGTCCTTCTTTCACGAATATTTTCGGCATTTCTTTCAAATTATAATTTCTTAATTACCGAAATCATCGTGGCGCTATCCGCCTCGAATTGTCTAACGTGCTTGCCAAGCCGAGTCACGATTACGAAGTCATTTATTCGCGAATGTACAAACGTGAGTGTCATATCCCGCGTATTTGTCGCGTCAGTTCGTGAGTGTATCGCGAGTGTTCGCCACGGGAATAATTATGAGTGCTATGCTACCGATATTATGTGTTATCCTGACCCTTAGCGTCACGACGACTACGGTGCGCGCCGGATTGAAATGTGACGCTGTCAGATCGTACTTCGAGTCGCAAGGTTTTCCGGCCACTGACATTCCTAAGGAGGCGATTTCATGTAAGTATTTATTTGAATTTTTTCCGTTTAATATCACGAATTTCAATTTCGAATATGTTGAAATTATAATTCATTCCAAACTGACGACAATTTTTAAAGATGGCGCGAGTGTAGGAAATTTGAAAATTGCGACGTAATTTAAAAGTTCACAATGGTAATGTTTGATTATTTTTGAATATTATTAAAATAATTAATAAAACAATAAAATTTAAATTGTTTTATTAATTTTTTAGTTTTTTATATTTATTTTGAATAGAATCATATTCGACAAATCTTTCAATTTAATTTCGTTTTTTTATATTGTTTATATTATAATTATTTTATCATTCGAATTTTGTGTATAATAGCAACAAACAATTTTAAAAATAAATTTTTAATTAAAATTTTGCTTAAATTTATGATATTTATTCGTTCCGAATTTTCTCGAAAAAAAAATAAAAAAAAATACAATATATGAATAAAAAACAAGTAATAAAATTTGAAGTTCAGAATTAGAATAAATATACTCATAATTTATTTATAATTTATTCGATGGTATTTCATTAAAATGATGCGCAAATGTTCAACGAAATATTTATAGTTGATGAATTATGAGTCGCGTTTCTTCGCGAAGAGGACTCGATTCGTAAAAGAAAAACAAACGAAAGAAAAATTCCGAATTTTCGCATACGAATATCTTGAAATTGGATGTATTGTACAAACGTTTCAAATGTTTGTTCAAACGTTTTTTTGTTTAGGCGTATATTTTTAAATGTTTGTCAAAAATTTTAAGATATATTATAATATTGTTCAAAAATTTCACATTTTATCCTACGTAAGTTAGCTAATGGATAAGATTATTCACACCTATATAACTGAACACATTGGTTTATCACCCGGATACATATACATATATACTTTATACGAGTACAAAGAACCTGTCTGACTTTATCGGTGGGTGCAATCAAATACGTCCAGCTTCAAAAGTATATTTACTTGTGCCGAATAGATAATAAGGAATCGTATGTTCCGTTAGTGTGATCAAATGATATATAATTTTT